TTATAAGTATAAATATGTTTTGAAAATATATTATTTGTATTTTTTAAGTGTTTCCAAACCTGTAACTTAGCGAGAAATCCTCTCACAGAGCTTGTTGGTCCACTCATAATATAATTATGCGAACTATTATAACAAGCTATATCGATATCCAATAGACATATATTCTTTATAGTTTTAAAATCTAAATTAATTTCAGCCTAATTCAAGCCACCTATTATTTTTGACTTAAGAAATGCTAAACCGACATAATATGCCAACATGATGGTTTCTTCTGTCGTAAAGCACCCATCGGCATATCCACAAACCAATTCGCCAATGGAATGACCCATTATAACATCAGAAGTGATACCAATACTTATTAAGAGATCAACTATTCTGATATGTAATATACGTATTTTTTTAAATATATTTCAACACTTTCTATTTTTTTTAAATAAAATAATATTATAAAATGTTACAAATTTAACTTTCTGCATACAATTATGTAACATGTGAAAGGCTCTTTTCAATTTCAATTCTTTTACAAGAATTTTGGATAATTATTTACTTTAGAGGAGTAATCTCTGATGATTTTGACCTTGATATATGTTATAGAGATCACCCTTCTGAGTATTCTTCAAAAGGTTTAACCGTTGCTCATGATTTGTTGAGAAGTTGTCAACATATGAAATTATAAATAGAATGTAAATTTTATTGACACCGTGTAGACAGAACTATAGTATATATAACTATATAAATATGAATTGTAGTATTCTCGATTCTTATTTATATACAAGTATTCAGTTGTTCCTTAGACATTAAAATTAAAATTTGATTTAAATCAGAAACAGATTTAGATTAGGTTATACCTTTTGAAAGTGGGGCCTCTCGCAAGGGGAAGAAATCCATTGTATACATTTTATTTTTACTGTCACAAAGAGTAAACTTTGCTTCACCTTGCAAAGTACATACGAAGTCCACCTGAGTCTGCGAGATCTATTATTGTATGTTCCACATGGGTTTCCATGCGAAACGAGAACCCCATATTACTTCTAAGCCAGTGCGAAACAAGGTCTGATTCCTCGCTTCGCATGGAAAGTTGCAATGTGAAACTATACAATAATAGTTCTCCTCGTTTCGCGCTAACTCAGAGTTAGGATGGACCTCGCTTTGCATAGAAAGTTAAAATAATCTTGACCTTTTTAGAAGTCGAATCAACATTGCTTAGAAATTCATATAGTCGCATGTTGCATATAATTCGTGGAAATTTTATCGTTAATAATTTTTTTAATAAACAACTGCTAAAACCTTTTGAAGATTACTCAGAAGGGTGACCTCTGTAACATATGTCAAAGTCAAAGTCATCAGAGGTTATTCCCTTAAAGTAAATAATTACCGAATTTTAAGTTTTTTATAAGATACTGATTTTTAAAGATATGGCGCTTCATTAGATAATACAAAAAAATTCCGCAATATATAAACGATATATATTTGTTCATACCTGTAATCCAATAAGACCTACAAATAAGTTGACTACGTTATCGAAAATATATTTGTCTTTATTTATTAGAATATCTGTGACAAATATATCATAAGGTTTCAAAACAGTATCGCATTTTTTAATTGCTCTAGGAAATACTGGAAATTCCATTAAAGCTCGACCTATATATATGTATTAATATTTAAAAAGATATAATTATAACATACAATTATATTATACAACGTAGGCGATAAATTATTTTAAATGAAGTAATATTTTTATGTAATTAATCTAAACATAAATGAAATCTCTAAAAATCATTTATCTTTGTTGTGCATATGCTTTCTATGTAGTATCATTATTATATTTTAGTTTAGTTCGTATCAGATAGAATTTTTATGTCTAAATGTAACTTAAGCAATTATTTAATAAAAATTTACAAACTGAAAATATAATTGTTAATTTTATTATATATAAGAATATATATATGTATAATTTAAAAATTGTTAAACGTTAATTACAAATAAACATCTTAATAATAATTATTACATTGTATTATATATAACGATTTACTTGCCCATGTTAAAACACTGAGATCGACTCTGTATCTATAAAGATATATTAGTTTTTATAATCATAAAAATTTATAATTATAAAAATATAATTATTTTATAACATTTTAAAGATTATTCTTTTTTAAATTAATTATAATTAGAAACTTAGTTAAGCAAATGTTTCATATATTTGACTTTGACAAATCTGTGCCTTTAAAATATTTTATAATTTATTTCATTGCCATGTTAAATATTATTTAGTTACTTTATCCAAGTAGGTATACATGTTAAAAGATACGTTTCGAGAACAATTGATTTTAATATGTCTTAAGAGAAGACCTGTTCATATAATATTCTACCCTTTCTTCCGTTTTCATTGACTAAAACTAATTTGAATTTATCCTTATAACTTTTACATCTAGACATTTATTAAAGTTAATTATTTAACTTATTTAGATTATATAACTTTATTAATAATTATTAATTTTAATAATATTTAATATGATTATTTATATTCTTTAATTAAATATAATTTAAATTATAACAATGATTTTTTAAAATTCTTTAATATAAACAATCTTTTAAATCTTTCATCTTTACCTTTTATTTCATATTAATATATTTTTTACTCTTTGCGTTAAATTATTTAGTAGTAACCCAGGTAGCAAGTACACGTCATTTTGACGTTCCAAACTGGTCATTTTTGATCATAAAAATGACTGATTTGTTATATGTCTTTATATTAGCATCTTGATATAACATTATTTTGACGTCATATTTCAGTCATAAATTGACGATTACTTTATTATTAATGTGATTAGTTAGTACATCAATCCCAATTCAAAAATTCTTTAAAAATTTTTTATATAACATGACTTTCGCGATCGGACTTTAACAATTTTTCTCTTCACGCATGCGTTTATCTGTACACGACTCATGTTGCTTAACCACTCAAGTGTTCATTAAATTAGTCCACAGTGAAAATATTAGCTATATCAATCGAATTAAAGTGCCAAAAAATATACATATTTTTTTATAATACAGTTCATTGGCAAAATATATTTTTATAAAACACAGGCAACGGAAGACATTATTTTTTGAAATTTTATATGATATTAGAAGTAAATTTATTTATGTTTAAATAAAATAATAATAAATATAAAACTTGTGACCTATTTTCATACCATATTTGCGTTTTCTAACGTTTACAAATAAAGTAATTTAATCGATCCGAGATTCCTCTGAAGAATACAATGGCTGTAATTGTTCAATGATGCTCTCGAATCGGTTAATCTACCTTACTCGACAACGCTATTAAATACATTATTATGCTAAGGAAAAGACATCAAAATATAGTACATTTTATAATGTCAAAATGAGGTACATGTCATGACATCAAAAATCTGTGACATTAGATCGCCTTAGATCGTCTCTTTTATGTCATAAAAATGTCTCGTGACGGCAAGAATAGTCAGTGAATGACCAATTTGAAACGTCAAAATGACGTGTGCTTGCTACCTGGGAATATGTACTTACGTCAAACACAATTTGACATTTTTTCTTAATGGATCACTTGAAGAGGACATATACATGCAACAACCACAAGGATATGAAGATGGAACTCAACGTGTTTGTCATTTGCAGAAGGGACTATATGGACTCAAACAGGCATCTAGGAATTGGAATATTCTTTTCAATGAATTTGTAATGGAGCATGACCTGATACAATCAGATTCAAATCCATGTATTTTTACAAAAAATGCCAATACGAATGATTGGATGATTCTATGTTTATACGTTGATGATGGACTTATAGCGTGCAAAAACAAGAATTTGCTGAAGGATTTCATCTCCTCATTAAAAGAAAAGTTTGAAATTACTTGTCATGAGCCATCATGTTATGTTGGCATGGAAATCAATCGCAATCGACAAATGAAGACAATTTACATTAATCAGCAAGGATATATATCTCGTATGTTGTGGAATGGAAAATTGTAAAACAATGTCGTCACCAGTGGATTGTTCTCTCAAATTGCCGGAACTGAAAAATGAAGAAAGTAGTGCTGAAAAGAGATTTCCTTATCGAAAAGCAGTGGGTAGCCTGAATTATATTGCATTGATATCAAGACCAGACATATTATATTATATGCTGTGAACATGCTTGCTCGATTTTCAAATAATCCGTCTGAATTACATTGGAGAACAGTTAAACATGTCATGAAGTATCTCAAAGGTACAATTGGTTTTTCATTATGTTACAATGGAAAAACGGAAGATGGATTAGTTGGATATTGTGATTCCGATTATGCTGGTGATCTGATGGAAAGAAAATCAACATCTGGATATATATTTATGCTATGTGGTGGACCGATAGCCTGGTCATCGAGTCTACAACGAGTCACAGCTTTTTCATCATCGGAAGCGGAGTATATATCAATTTCGGAAGCATTAAAAGAACTCCTATGGTTGCGGCCATTGCTGGAATCTTTCGGACTGAAACAAACGGAGAAGACTGAATTGAGAGTTGACAATCAGGCAGCAATAACGATGTCAAAAAATCCAGAGAAGGACCAAACATATTGGAGTTCGCTACCATCGTATTAGACAAGAACAAGAAGCAGGAAATGTAAATGTTGTTTACGTTTCATCAAATGAACAAGTGGCTGATTTACTTACTAAAAGTCTAACATGGACAAAAATTTCAAGATATTTGGAAATCTTAGGAACGACGTCATGAACAAGAGGGAGTGTTAAGCCTTGTTTACATTGGACGTAGGACGTAACGTAGACATAGACGTAGACGTAGACGCAGACGTAGAAATTCTTCGTGGTTAACATTGAAGTACTTTTCAGTATGTTCGACTAATGATCGTGGTCCTTATAACCAATCATAGAGCTGCATCCTTAACCTTACTTTTATTTCGAAAGTTTATTGTGTTTGTTTTGCGAGTATCAGTGATTGTATTTTCGAATACGAAGTAAAAAAGATGAGCGAAGAATTAGATCGTCGGTTAATTTTAATGGTGGAGAGTAATCCCCATTTATACGATAAAAAATTACCGGGTTATAAAGACAAGGTACTCTGCAATAATTCATGGAAGTCTATTGGCGATCGATTGAATATCAGCTGTAAGTCTACAATTGTTGTTTTAATTTGTCGAATTGTTTAATAAAAAAATAATAAAATATTTAATTTATTTGCAGCGGAAGATGCTATACGACGTTGGAAAGTTCTAAGAGAACGTTTCAGCAAGGTTAGGAGGCAAAAAGCAAACATTCCTTCTGGGTCTGGTGCATCGTCAGAAAACCAGGAGATTGAATGGTCTTTATATAATACCCTACTATTTTTACAACCCCATGTACAAAATAGAAAGTAAGAATAACTTTTGTAGTATGTTCTATTTTGTTGTACTTAGTGCAATATATATGGAATAATGTTATGTACAGGACAATTGGTAACTTAGCATTGAGTGCCAGTCAGAAGAATAAATTTTCAGACAATTCTTGATGTCGACATCGACAAGAACCCACCAGAAACTCAGTTAGATTTATTGGACGAATCAGTAGAATTCATAGATGAAGATGTTCGCAGCTACCTGTTAAATATAAAAGAGGAAACAGGGGACAACGGAACTTCGAAATGTACCGAAAAATTGGATTCCAATAAGAAACGACCATTGTTGGAGATAGAAAATCAACAAAAGAAGAAAAAGAAACCTCAACCTTTACCTCCTGAGGAACGTCTTATCTCCATGCTCGAAGGCGTAGAAAAAACAATCGTAAAAAGAGACGATGCAAAAGATGATGTTCTTTGGAATTTTTGCATTTCATTATACGGATCGATGAAAAAAATGACAAAGACAAAAGTGAAAGACATGAAATTCAAAATTTCTCAACTTCTCTATGAATTCGAGTCTGACTCGGAAAATTAAGGTATACGATACGTATATAATATGTCATAAATATTAGTTTAAAAAGTAAAAATAGTTTATTACATAAATTTACATACTTTTACATATTGTTTATTATACAAATTGTACTTCTTTGTTACAGCAACAGAACAATCACGATTTGCTGAACACAAGACCAAAGAAAGGATATATCCAGTGAGAAATGGTACGTCGAATTGATGTGATTTGCTGTACCATTTCTCACTAAGTATGTATTGTTATATGTTGTGATAAATGCATATATATATATTGATAGTTAATATCTGAAAATATATTTATACATTTTAAAAACTTCCTCGTTTTACATAATTATACTGCCAATCTACTTTTCCTTCTGGCGACACAAGATAATCAGCAAGGGTATTTCGTAAATCAATATCCGCTCGTGTAGAACGATTTGTCCCTGTGCGACCTAATTCATCAATCTGAGGACAGTTTACTCGCCAGTCACCAAGAATGACACATCCTGAATCATCATAACGATCTACATAATTATCTGGACAATAATAACGCTGCTTACTTGACAATTCTTCTATTTTAACGAAGTTATGTAAACATAATGTAGCGCATACAATTCTTTCAATTGTACTAACACTGGCAATTATGTTAGTATGTAGAATTCGCCACCGACTGGCTAAAATGCCAAAGGTATTTTCAATAACGCGTCGAGCACGTGATAGGCGGTAATTAAAAATTTGTTGTTTTTCTGATAAATTTGTTCCGGGATAAGGCCGCATTATATAGTGCTTAAGTGGAAAGGCTTCGTCTGTAGCCACAAAATACGGAAACGCGATATTAGTTCCACGTAAATTGGTAGAACCTGGAAGGCCTAATTCATTATTATCCATAGCTTTCCCAAATGCCGATTCTTTAAAAATGCCACCGTCGCTTTGAGATCCGAAAGCACCGACATCAACAAGTGTAAACAAATAAAAAGCATCGCAAACTGCCATTAGAACTATACTAAACGTTTTTTTATAGTTAAAATACTGCGAACCCGATTTTTTTGGAGCTTGAATCGTTATATGCTTCCCGTCCATCGCACCAAAACAATTAGGTAAATTCCAGCGATACCAGAACTCCGTTGCTTTAATTTCCCATTCTTCAGTAGTTGGTGGTTTTAAGTAAATTGGGGATAATTCATCCCAGATAACTGCACAAGTCTCTCGTATTACGTTGCTGACTGTGGACTTGGAAACACAGAAGCTCCATGCAACTACCTGCATGCTCGGTCCATGGGCAAGATAACTAAACAAATACGTATAATTATCTAATAACATATGCTTAACTCAAGAATAAAAATCTGAAAAATATATTTATTATAATACTCACTACAATGTCATAACCAGCCGAAACTCCGGACTTAATGGCTTTCTTGGACTGATTTTTATTAATCTATGTTTAACAATATCCAGCAACTTTTCAAATTGGTTGACTGTCATTCGAGTGTACTTAAAAAATTGTTCATCATCTTTTTCTTTTATATATTGGAACAATATATAATATTGGCTCCGTTTTACCCGATTTCTCAACAGCGGACGAACCCACCATCGTCGCTTGTTATGAACTTTTTTTTTTTGCAAAGATCTTAAAATCATACCCACTGCAGTGAAAATTAAAGAAAATCTTAATAATTCTAATTTTTCAATTTCATACATTTTATAAAAGTGAATATATCAATCGTGGTACAGTTTAGAGGTTAACCGGTAAGTGTCCGCGCAAATGGTATACACCGGGCATCCCTCTTGTGATTGGCTGGACGTAGAAAAATATTAAAAATTTTAAAATTCTACGCCTACGTCTACGGCTACGTCTGCGCTTAAGTTTCAATATGGACGGTAACATGCTATTCCTATCTTTCCAATTCTTACGTCTACGTCTACGTCTACGTCCTACGTCCAATGTAAACAAGGCTTTAGAAAAAGCGTGTTCAATGACGTTGTACTTTTATTATTAACGACATCTGTATTTTGTCTAACTAATCTTTGTTTCCGCTGTGTCCCGCATTGTCGCTTGTATATATACTTTTCGTAGCTTTTACTCTCTTGTATCGTTTGCTTTTACTGTGTTCATTATTAGTTAACTTACTTGTTTTTCTTAGCCTTCTTAATATATAGTTATTATAATCCTCTGATAGATATATGTACCTCTGAGTTCGCTACTATTTCCTTAACACATACCCAGACGATAAAATTGATAAGTTACAAAAGAATGAATACACAAATTGATACTAGCGACAATAGCCGCGTCGCAAATTCCAGATCGAATCAAATTATAAGCTTCCACCATAGCGAAATGGGTCAAGCTACATGCAGTATCGATGTTATATGATGGTCCAGTGACGTTGAGCCAGTTAGAAATTCTATTTGCCAACATATTTTTATTACAACCAAGAATGGGCAATCCAGCAACCTAATTATGATATAGTTTTTATATTAAAAATATTTTATTACAATATCTTTGTACATACATATTAATACGTTCATACAGTTTTAAGAGTGCATGTTTTTTTTATCGATTTTTAATAGTTAAATTATTGACATACATGAGTCTGGAATAGTAAAATTATTAACATACATGAAGCTTTTCGTATACTACATCGAGATATGTATCACAAACTGACATTGCTGTGACAATTGCCCTTGTTCCCTGCAATTCTGCGGGATTGATACCTGCGTCAATAATTGCTGCATAGGTGCTTTCGAACAATATTCTAATTCCAGGATCAAGCGTATGAGCTTCTTCGATCGACATATTAAAAAATTCTGCATCAAATTTTTCTAAATTGTTTATTTTTCCTATTCAAGGAGGCATTTAAAAAATATCTGTCAAAATTTAAAATGATTTATAGAAAAATAACATATATTGAAATCATAAATAAGAACTACATTCTTAAAGATGGGCAAGATATTTTTATGAGTAAACGACATTTCGATTATTTTTCATTTTCACATCAAATGCAAAAAACTTACGAATATGTTATAATAAAAATGATTTATGCAAGTACAAATTGCACAAAGAATATTAATTGTCAATTTTAATGTTATATTTATAATTAAACCACATATATATTGTAAATTCGTAAGTATCATTAATTCATATATTTTATGAGATATAAGTATTATTTTTTTTTAATATAACGAACAATGATATTCTTACCCAGTAAAAAAATTTACATAATAATATACATATAATTATATAAAATTAGATATAAAACATACTTATATATATGTTTTCTTGTATAATCTCTGTCTGTACATATACAGAAAAAATAATGAAAAGAATAATCGGTGAATAATTAAAAAGATAATTTTTTTATTGTTTCTTTTAGAAAAATGAGATTTGAAGAAATGAAAAAGAAGTTCCAACATATAGTCAACATTTTCTTTTTATATAATTATATGTAGATTATTTTTCCTCAATTCTTTCAATTTTATTTATCTTTTATGTAAAAATTTTAATTATTTCCTAAATTATTCTTCATTTTTGTATACAGAAATAAAGATTTACAAGAAAATAAAAACAGAGATCGATATATTTCATATATACTTTAATTTATTTATTATATATTATTATGTAGACTTTTTTCCTAAGATAGAAAAAAATTTGAAAAAGTATTACTTACAATTGGTCCAGCGTTGATGATCCTTCGAACCGAGATTCATATTAAAAAGATTATCTTGAAATTCTTTTATATTATCCGAATTAGGAAATCGTCCAGCGATACCAGAGATAACTATTTCTTCCTCCTCATTAACGCTGATATATGGATTGAACGGTTTATTATTATTCATTTTCTAAAAATTCTAATAATTCTGAAAAAAGATATTAGAATTTTATTTCAGATTTATATATGTATAATTAAGAAAACAAAGAATGAAATTTATAACTCGCATATAGAAATAATCTTTGAAATAATTTACTCAAAAATTGGAAAAGAATATATGCAGTAAAAAGCAAGAAGAATTTGTACTCACCACATTCAAAAACTAAAAAAATTTTTTTTATGAAACTAGCAGCGCACGATGATTCTAATAAAAAACACAACTTTATAAAACTGACTATTACAATGGCTATCTCATATCAAAGAGCAAAACGTATATTATTATTATATATCAGAACTGTGATCAGATATAAACTATGATAAATGTGTGATAAGCATTCAATATATAAGCTTCATAATCCTAATAGTCTGACCGGAAAGCATGACTTGTATAATCATAACAGTGTAATTTTACAATTAAAATGAATACATGCATTACGTGTCACAAAGTTCAACAGATGCACTAAGTAGAATTATGCATTTGGTTTCAAATACGCTGGTGTTTTAAATGCGGTCTAAAAAACATACTAGTGCAATTATTACATTGTACTAATTTTCGGTTTTTAGAAAATTTATTCAAATTGATATGTGACTGTATTGATATGTGTATTGATATGTGTATTGCTATGTGTGTAAAATGTAAAATATCAAAAAATATATAAACGTATTTATAGAATTTTGAAAACTGATTTTGAAAAGTAAAACACCCTTTTGAGATTCGCACCAGTCAAAATTAATTTTCTATATTAAATATTGAATTATTATTTAAATAATATTTTTGATAAAAATTTGGTAATTATGCATAAAAAGGGCTCAATCTCGCACAAATGTGTCATTGACATATGTTGTCAAGATCATATCTCTAATTAATATTCTAAAGGTTTTAGCCGGCGATCGTTCTTTATTTAAAAGTTATTAAAGTATTTATAAAAGGGGCTTCTTCGCCGATTTGCTTTATTTTTAAATATGTTTAAGGGACCTTAATAACCTTAACAGTTATTTCTATAAAAGAAATTTCCTGTGGACATATATCTTTTCATAGTCGTTACGTCCAGCCTGCGAGAGATAAGCTTTCGGAATACTTGATTCAGATATTGCCACAGAAAACCTCTCCGAGCTTAAAGTAGTTGAACATGTTGAACGAATCCTATGAATGGTGCACATCTCTAAATATCTCATATCCAGCAAAATATTATACAAATAACCTATTAGCCCTAGAAGTATGTGCAGAAACTGTGTATTTTAAACCAAACGATGCCATGACAATTGAAATTACACGATACATTCTTAATGATTCGTTAAAGGCAACCGTGACAAATGTCGAATTATATACAAATTGTCTCACAAACCAAACCTTGAAATATTCTTGCATGGAATTGGAAAACTTTATAATGCAGGATTACAGCTGCAAATCGCAAATTTATATTCGTAAAATTAAATTTCCTGTGAGTCGTAATACACCAATGATTTCTCATCTTATAAGGTAAATTTTGCTTAATATAACATAAGATTCTTCAATGTTATGTTTATTACAAAAAATAGCAGAATTTAAAAACACGGAAAATTAATTTGCATTACTTTTAACGACGTTAAACGCTAATAAGATTAATGTTTTATATATTGTTAAATTAATAACACGTTTTACAGATGGGATCATTCCGAAGGTTGGTATGTATATTATTATTTTGGACAAAGGAAACTTGACATTGGGGAAGTAATTGTTACCATTAATTTATTAGAGGAAGAATTTATATATATATAATTGGGCATGTTATTAATAGAGAAAATTTATTATCTGCTACAGGATATCTTTTCCTAATATGGCAAATGATCGGTTGGTTAAAAAAGCAAAATTACCTCGATATATCAATTGTATTTGAAAATGTCAATTTCCTACGATCTATAGTTTTGTCGAAGCAGAAATCCAATCGACTTAACTCTTATGATCCAAAAAGGTAACTTGTACAATTAAAATAATTTTGTGATCTAGATATATAAAAGGATAAAAATTTTTTAAGATATAAAATATGAATAAGCGAAAAAATTCAGTAGAGAAAAATAAATTAACAAAAGATTTATACTTAATAAACAAATTATTAACAGTTTGCTAATAAAAAAGTAGCATCAGATTTGAACAAAATTACAGTATATTGGTACTGCATTAAGCTTGTATTTTTCTATTAAGACAGTTGGTAAACATAATATAATCAGGGAATCTTAGTTTCTACTGTCAATTTACTGTTAATTTAGTAAAAAATGTATTGTAAATTTAATATTTTAATAATGTATGTTTAATAATATTTAATAATGTTATTATTAATGATCAAATACGTGGTAGATCTGATATGCATTTGCGTGGATCAGAAAATCAGATATTTACGCGAACACTTTCATCAAAATTAAAATTTAAACATTTTTTTATTCATTTAATTTGTAAATTGTATACAATGAGTGGTATTTCCTTTCCACATTATTTCATTTTCACGGTTAAATGCCAGCTGGAATTTATTCTTCTTCTTAAGAACATACTCTTGTTATGAAACATAGCTTATAGAATCTCGTTATAAAACATGGAATAAAATTTCCGTTTGTAAATTAAATATTCAAAAAATTAATAATTATAATAATTATTTCTTATAGATAATTGCAAATTCGAAATAATCGAAAATGACAGTGTTGTGATTACTGGAACAGTACACATTCTAGTTAATATTAAAGACGAGAAAATATCTAGCACATTTATTAATCGAAACGATAATGATAAAGAGGAGATGAATATAAAAGATATTTACAAAGAGTTGAAACTTCGTGGTTATCAATATACCACGATGAATTTCGTCGATTAAGATGCGCGTCAATCACAGGAAAGAATATATAAGATCATATTGCCTGGACTGACAATTGGGTAACATTTATGGACAATATGTTACAGATGATGATTTTAGGGCAGAATTCGAGAAGCCTTTTTGTACTAACAAGAATTCCTAAAACGGTAATCGATCCGAAATCTCACATAAAATATATTAAAAAACTTTCAAATGAAAAAGCACGTAAATTTACAATATTACACATGGACACAATATTTAATCAAATATTATTTTTCGAAAAATATATACATGATACGTTATTGTTTTTATATCTGTAGAAGTTCTTGTAACAAAATTATAAGCACTTAGATATTTTGATATCTGGAGAAATAGAAATACACGGCCTTATAATTGCAGCTATATCTCGTTGACAAAATGTAACCAATCCCTTTTGGAAGAATACAAATTTGTTGCTCATCGAGATCTAAATATGATCTTTGGAAGATGTAATAAGAATGTCACTGCACATTGCACTTGAGTGTCACAACATGATAAACGTAAAAATTATGGAATTTATCGAAAATAGCGATGAAGTAATGCCGGAGAATTTAAGTTCTTTACATGTTTATAAAATTTTAGATGACTTCGAAAATTTGTTACAATATCAAAGTAGTAGCGATCAACGAAAGATTTAAAGATATTTCTTTGCCCGACAAAATTTCTATTATAGAATTTGATAAACTGACAAAAAATGAAAATTGTTTGATAATAATAGGTTTCGAAATTTTAACAAAAAATAGAAACGATTTGTACGAACAATTATTGTCTGCCATAATACCAAAGGAATATCTTCTGATATTGAAAGAGTTAGATGCTATTTACGATTACTCATGTCTGGACAAATATGAATTAAAAGTAATTTTGGAAAAACGCACCAACGATAAGACAATTATATTATTAAGAATACAAAATTTTAAGAGGAATCATCATATTGTGAAGGTAAATAATTACGAATTCTTGTGGGTACACGGTAAAAAATATATTGTATTTCTGTTAAAATTTACTCGTGTAAAAATTTTTGTGTTAAATTTTGAACATACTCTTATCTTAATGTAACATATTATCATTATTTTGATATTTCTTTGATATTAGCGTTATTTTGATATTTCTGTGTTGAGTTAATATTCACCGTTTCTAAGAATTAAAACAATATAATTAATATGTAAATGCACGAATTTTTGATGAAATATGTTATATGTTAAAATGAACAGATAAGTTTTGTCATTTTTCTCTCTATAACAGTTTCCATATGTTAAATCGACATATCTCTTCTGTTATTTATCATAAAAATGTAAGAATAACATTTTCTTCTAATTAAATTTAACATTATAAATATGTTAATTTAACATAAACTTTATTTTCAAATAAAGTTTAAATGTTACACTTTTGTGTTAATTTTTAAACATATTACTTGTGTTATTTATTTACATACTTGCCTTCTGTTAAATTAACATTAAAGGTAAATATACCGATGAAGGGAGCTCGCCTCGATTGCCTCGACCTTGACATATGTTGTCAAGGTCACTGCCCTGATTAACATCCAAAAGGTTTTAGACTTAATTTAAAATTTTTCATTTGTTTAGTAGTTTAGTTGTTCAGGATTTCTTGTTGGGATTCAGAATATTAAAAATATTATTTGTAATTAAAATAAGAAATAGTGTGTGCGTTTACTGCATTTATTAAAAGTATTTCTATTATATATATGAATTATACTACAAGATATTCTCAGTATTTCCTATTAACCAAAATAAGTGAACATTAGAGCATTCTTAGTATATACTTATTGTTAGTCATAGTATGTATATACTTATTGTTAGTCATAGTTATATCATAGTATGTATCTCGAATGTTTTGAGAATATGTGCATTGTACTTTTTGCGATATTCTTCGAACATTCTCAGTATCTACATGTGCTGTTAGGGGAGGAATTAAAAATGTATAGTAAAATTTACTTTTTTTCTTTTTAGTGTCTGCGATGTAGAATCTAATCTTTGTCTTCACATTATAGCTAATATTGATACTAGTAGAAAGATTTCTGATGGTAATTCTGATAGTAATCAATAGATTACTGATAATATATTGAAATTCGCTTTCACTCTATAATTCATACCCCATTGCACATAAGTATAAGTAGTTTAAAAATACAAATAAAATAGAGAGAGATGAGTCAGGCAATGAACAATCAAGTAAAATATAAAGAGTAAAATGTAAATTATAGTTTGTCGTCTTCTCATCTTCACATGTTTTTAAACATGTTCTGTGAATCCTTTTATAAACGGTAGCGATTTCATTTTCTCAGTAATGTAATCCAAGAAAAATCTCACTCTTTCAACATTGTTATAAATAAAATATAATATACCGAAGTAAAACAAATATATTGTCGTGATATGAATAACGTACATCCTGAAATAAATGAATACGACTCATAAAATACGATGACATAAAAATTTTAAATAAAAATACATTTTAATGTTTCAAGAAGTTAAAAAAATTTATTTCAAATTTAAATTAATTAAGAGTTTCATCTTAATATATATATATATTAAGATCGGTCATTCCACGTCAACTGGAACACCTGTCTGCCCAAAATTTAGCGCTATTTCCAAGAACGTGTGACAGCTTAAAAAATTCGTCTACTCAAGAGCTTTCAAAAGATGTGTGGCACTTCGTAAAAATTAAAAATGGCGGATCTACTATAGCGCCTGCCGAAAATTGCATGAATTTCCCGAAAAATCTTAGACTTAGATTTCCTTTTAGAAGATGAATTCATGCTAAAAAGACTTTTTTTGAAAGTAATCGAGATCGGCAGTTCCAGGCGCTATAGTAGATCCGACATTTTTAATTTTTACAAAGTGCCACACATCTTTTGAAAGCTCTTGAGTAGACGAATTTTTTAAGCTGTCACACGTTCTTGGAAACAGCGTTAAATTTTGGGCAGACAGGTGTTCCAGTTGACGTGGAATGACCGATATATATATGTAAATTTTTATAGAATTCAAGTTTAGTTAAATTTATTATAATTTTAATTATTATATTATAAAATTTAATTTATTTAACTTTTTAATTTAAAAGTCTAAAAAATAAATATCTTAAATTTTTAGAACAAAATGGATTAAATCGTTGTTGCACCAGAAACGATAATTACGTGTTTTTTATACAAACATGAAATATAAGATGGAAAATCTGTCTGTAACATTAAGGAAAAAAGTACACATTTATATGAAAAATAAAAAAAGATATTAGTTTCTTTTATCCGTTTCTTCTTTTTTTCTTTGATATATTTTCTTGAATATATGATTAAATATTTTTTCTCAAAAATGTAAAAAATATACAAAAATTTCGCAAATTTTATAATCAAATATTAGATATCCATTTTTCGGAGTTGGTTAGGTGGCGTGATGAGAAATGAAAAGTCTGTGAATAAGTGGGATAAATTAAGGAATAATTAGAAAAACCACATTAAAGATAGGTTAAAGGTAGGATTATGTTATAATAAGAAAGTAGAAGGAAAAAAAGCCGAGAAAGTAAAGGGAGAAAAAGGGATACGAATAGAAAAGAAAATAGAAGAGAGAATAAAATCGGAAAAGTTTAAGATTAGGTAAGTTCGATTTAAATAGGATAAGTGTTGCTTAAGTAGGTGAAGTTTAGAAAAGGAAGGATAAAAGAAGTTTCTTTATTAAAGAAGAAGAAAGTGGAAATAGAAAGAAGAAAGGGAAGGATAGGAGAGAAAATATAGATTTCCCATTAAACACAAAATATTGCAACAACATTGCTGCAATGTTGTAATATTGCCGCAATATTGCTGCAATATTCTGTGTTTACTGGGTTTATGTATAGATTGATGTTTAGAGAAAGAAAACAATAGATTAGACAGTTCCTTCTTGGCAATAGCTGAAGAATAAAGATATATCCACTATTCTTTTCTGCTTATTGAGAGATTTATCTTATTGCTTGTATCTGTTTTAAAGAATCTCTATGTATAAAATACTTAACAGAATTTATTCCTAGCATGGTAATGGTACTGTTTGATTGTACGAAAATATGTCACAAAATGTAGTAAATTTATATAAAGAATACTCACATTGTTTGATGCCGACGAGCTTTTGGCAAAGTAGATAGATCTTCTTTCATACAGTATTGTCGCGTGCCAAGGACTAAATGCTTAAAGTATTCCATTTCATCGACATTGTAAATCATAGTTGGAAATATTTTTTTATAATGGTGTTATTTTCTAATGGTGTTATATCGTTGCACAAAGTAATTATATTTTTATTATAAAATATCCAATGCCGCGTGGTGAAATATTGCAATACCTCGAGACCGTTTAAAATTCGTTTCTGGATTCTGACCATACTGTTTGAGATTAATGAAAAAAGATAATAATTAAGGAAATTTATACAGTAACATATACAATATTGTGTAATTACATGTAAAAAACACAAGAAATATCAATAGATAGAAATCAATAAAAGTATATATGTCTAAAAATATTAAAACATACGAAACTTACAATCTCTTTTGTCCAAGTATCAGCATCAAAAAATCGATCAAGTATGCGGGTATGATTTGGAAAAGTAAGACGATAATATTATGCAGAATTTTATTGTTATGTGCGTCGCCAGCTGGATACCAAATTTGTCCCTCGAAAGGATATTCATAAACAAGTTGTTTAAACTTCTTCAATATCTCGTTCCCTGTGATACGCAAAGTATTGATTTGCGATGTCATATTGACTACGAGTATACTTTCTGAACTATACATGGCAAATCAAACAGAAAAAAATTAATATTTTTTAAATTAATATTTCATTTAAGTGACAGACAGTTGTGCAAGTATATAATAGTTAAAAAATATTATCGATTAAAAAACATATGAAAAACTTTTGAACATTTCTCTCTATTACATAATATTAATAAATTTAGAAATTGTAGTAAATTGTAATAAATTGTAGTAAATTCATATTTTTAATAAATTACGACAATAAATTTAAGCAAAATTTAAAATTTAGAAAAAAATATGCGATACTTTAACAGTTTTTGTGATATTTTAATTTGGGATACTTTAACAATTTAAAATATTATACAGGGTCTACCAAAAGTGTGGAAACCCCTAAATATCTCGGAAAATATACGTTTTACAGAAAAGTGTTTCCAACAAAAGTTGTAGGGTTTAAGAAGATCTATATACTGATTCTATCAGTTTGACCTTGGATGGCGTCGTCAAGGTCAGGTCAAGGTCACATTGACTTTTTTAAATGACACCCCCTACATTTGATTGCATATTCTTATAGCTTAATTCAAGAGCTTTCCAAAACACTATAATAATGTTCATTTTTATTAAGTACTTTGCGAGTTATGAGGGTTGAAATAATTTCTTAATTTTACATAAACCATAAAATATCTAGTAAACCATTCATTTTTCGATTATCTTACCTTCATACTTTTATGTACAAATTAATGAGAGGAATCAATTGGTGTAAAGAAAACACATAGTTGTTTCTAAGAAAAAATATGTAATTTGCAATTAACAATTCCATATTTTTTCTTAAAAACAACTGTATGTTTTCTTTACACCAATTGATTCCTTTCATTATTTTGTACATAAAAGTATGAAGGTAAGATAATCGAAAAATGAATGGTTTACTAGATATTTTATGGTTTATGTAAAATTAAGAAATTATTTCAACCCTCATAACTCGCAAAGTACTTAATAAAAATGAACATTATTATAGTGTTTTGGAAAGCTCTTGAATTAAGCTATAAGAATATGCAATCAAATGTAGGGGGTGTCATTTAAAAAAGTCAATGTGACCTTGACCTGACCTTGACGACGCCATCCAAGGTCAAACTGATAGAATCAGTATATAGATCTTCTTAAACCCTACAACTTTTGTTGGAAACACTTTTCTGTAAAACGTATATTTTCTGAGATATTTAGGGGTTTCCACACTTTTGGTAGACCCTGTATAATCTTGATATCAAAAATATTTTAACAAGCACTAGGGACAGAAGAACTGCCCATATTATGAGCATAATATTACATGATAAATTCCATTTTAATTTAAATTGTGAAATATTTTACTATTGCAGAAGGAAAGTTTGAGCAAAATAGAAATTTACTTTTTCAGGCTAGTGGCAATTTTGTATGCAATTATGATTAAATCGTTAATTGCAAGATCAACTGGTATAACTTCGACATTATAATTGCCGTTGCAATGCATCGATCTGATAATACCCTTGCCTCCACCGACAAGTATTCCTGTAGGTCCATTTAAATTGTCGACCCATCCTGGTAACGGCTCCTTGTACGAAGGCAACACTGCGACGGGATTCATTAATTTTTATATTCTTTTTTGTCTATACACAGTCGCCGAGATATTATATTTTATAATCTTTTATAATTAATAAGATATATCAATAATTACCAATCGATGGTCTAGCAATGCAACAAGGTATATCAGGAAATTCATTGGCTACCATTTTTTCAGTCAGATGTTTCGAATATGTATAAGTATTTGGGTGCGGATGTATTAATCTAAAAGATAAACACAATAAAATCTCATATATTTTCTTATGCACAATTAAGAGAGAGAAATAACTTAATTTAATTAAATTAATTTAATCATCATTAAATTAAACATTATAAACATTAGTTATAAACATTATTACATATTACTAATATTGTTTATTAATATTCTTTTATCAATATAGTTACTTTATTTTATTAATTTATATAATTATTTACAATAAGTTTTAAATATTTAAATATTTTAAATCTTTTAATATTTTAAGTAGTTGAAAAAAATTATAATTTAAAAAATATATTATTAATGACTAAATAAAATATACTTGCGAGCTACGCTTATGCTGAATGTTGTTAATTATTAAAATCGATTTTAAAATGTTGTTAATTAAAATGTTGTTAATTATTAAAACCAATTTTTATTTACTTTGGCGTAATAAGATCGATAATATCTTCATCTAAACATTGAACGAGTCTCATGATATCCTCAGGGTCATTAGAGGTGTCGTATATACGCTCGCCTACTTCCTTTTGATCAACGTGACAGAAAGCTGTGCTTAGATGTATAAAAGCTTGCAGATGCTTCATTTCTTTTCCCAAGTTTAGTACCATTTTTGTACCTCTCTTGAAAATTAAGTCAAAGTCTCATGTCTTATAAATCATTAAGAATAATTAATTGTACACGCAAATTAAGTCTAAAAGATACTAAGATAGTAAAAGATAGTATATCTCATTATTTGAGATATAAAGAATTTCGCACAAATCTTGTAGAAAAGAGATTTTAGTAAAATTGTCTAAAAGTTGGATATGTTTTAGTTTATGATTTCCTGATCAAAAGTTTCAGTGATTCCACGATCTTTAAAAATGTACAGATTTTTTATCACAGACGTTCAAAACGTACAATTAAATTCATGTTCGTTGGAGATGTGTTCGACATTACATGTGAAAATATGTTGATATATTCGCGTGTTTATAATACTCTGTCTCTCTCTCTCTCTATTATTGATTTACTTTTTGCTAATAATAAAGTGCAATTACAAGTAATTCATGAACCTAAAATAACAGATCATGCATGGCAAAAAATCGTTTTATATTTTTAAATAAAATTAAAAGTAAGTATAGAGAATTTAATGCCAGAGACTATAGTAAATTTAGTATAGATGATATTATTAGTCTAGTGGAAAATAGAATGGGGGAAAGTCAAGATTTGTAAGTAAATAGGAGGGTGCCTGTACAATCTCTTTTGAAAAAAAAATCATAAGTAGATCTCGTTAAACTGAATTTAAAAGTCATATATCATTTTGAAAGCAACCACAAAATGATGGTGGCGCGCGCTTCGAGCTACGCACATTGGCCGATCTTTTTTAATTAATATTTCGAATTTTATGTGGTGCATCTCAAAATGATACATGACCTTTTAGTTTGGTTTAACGAGATCTATTTACGGTTTTCTTTTCGAAAGAGTAAAAATATGTACCTGTATGTATGTATGTATATATATATATATATATATATATATATATATATTGGGTTGGGGAAAAAGTTTCTTCGTATTTTATTGCAAAAATGAAACAAATTTTATTCATATTTGAAATGAAGCTTATGAAATTAACTATGTGCCGTTTTGTTCGACCACCTTTTGCCATCTTTGAGGTAAAACCATAATCCCGTCACTGTAGAACTTGTGTGATTTCTGGGCGAAAAACTGTGACAAGTGATTTTCACAGGCCTCTCTTGAAGCCAACTTCGTACCATTAAGAGAGTTCTGTAGAGATCGAAATAAATGGTAGTCTGATGGTGCAAGGTCAGGACTATAAGGTGGGTGCATCAAAACTTCCCAGCCAAGTTCTCTTAATTTTTGACGAGTCGCTATAGATACATGAGGTCTCGCGTTGTCGTGATGAAAGACGACGCCTTTCCTATTGATCAATTCTGGTCGCGTTTTCTCAATTGCCTGGCGTAATCTTTCCAGTTGTTGACAGTAAAGGTTAGAATCAATTGTTTGACCGGACGGCAGCAGCTCGTAGTGAACGATTCCTTTGTAATTCCACCACACACTCAGCATCACTTTTCTTGGCGTCAATTTTGGCTTTGCCACAGTTTGCGGAACTTCATTTCGCTTTGTCCACGATCTTTTTCGTACATTATTGTCATACGTGATCCATTTTTCATCGCCTATTATGAGCCGTTTCAAAAATGGTTCGATGTCGTTTCGTTTTAACAATGATTCGCAGATAGAAAATCGATCCATTAAATTTTTGACTGTTAAATCATGTGGCACCCAAACATCGAGCTTTTTTTTGTATCCAGCTTTCTGCAAATGGTTTAAAACTGTTTTGTGGTCGATGTTCAGTTGCTTACCGATTTCGTGACTGCTAATATGCCGGTCTTGTTCAATTATTTCCATAATTTCATCGACTTTTTCAGTGATCGGTCGACCAGAGCGAGGTGTATCTTTGACGTTAAAATTTCCAGATTGAAAACGCTTGAACCAGATTTGTGCAACACGTATTGATACAGCATCATGTCCATAAACATCACAAATTTTTTTAGCTGCCTGAGTTGCATTCTTCCCTTTTTTAAAATAAAATTTTAAAATGTATCGAATTTCTTCTTTCTCTTCACTCATTTTCAAGATGCAATAACTTTTAACTGAATAGATAAATATCACTACTTTTTTGCTACTTTTTCTTTATGATATGTCACCTTTCAAACGCACACAAAGTATTGACAGATCCGATTAATATTATCAAGGTTATGCGATTCTAATTCCATCTGCCGGAAAATACGAAGAAACTTTTTCCCCAACCCAATATATATATATATACAGGGTGTCCCATTTTAATCCATCCAGTCGAATATCCCGAAAACCAAATCAGAAAGAGAAAAATGTTTCAGACAAAAGTTGTATGGTTTCAAGGGGGACATAAGATGGTACCATTGGTTTGACCTTGAAGAGTTATTTGAAGGTCACATGAAGGTCACCTTCAATTTCTTAAATGGAACCTACATTTTCTCTTTACATATTCTTGTAGCTTATCTCGAGAGCTTTCCAAAACACTATAATTAAGTACCTTTTCGTTAAGTACTTTTTGAGTTATAAGGCTTGAAATCATTTCTTAATTTTACATAAATCATAAAATATCTAGTAAAATATTCATTTTTCGATTATCTTACCTTAATACTTTTATGTACAAAATAATGAGAGGAATCAATTGGTGTAAAGAAAACATACAGTTGTTTTTAAGAAAAAATATGTAATTGTTAATTGGTAAAAAATGTGTAATGTACTTTTTTGCAATGCACTTTTTGTTATAAACAATCATGCGTTTTCTTTGTACCAATAGTTTTGTCTCATTATCCTGTGCATAAAAGTATTAGGGTAAGACTACCGAAAACTAAATATTTTACGAGATATTTTGCATTTTATATCGAAGTACTGCAAACTTTGAAGCCTTATAACTCAAAAAGTACTTAATGAAAAAACATTTGTCTGTAGTGTTTTGGAAAGCTCTCGAGATAAGCTACAAGAATATGTAATGAAAAATAGTGAGTTCAATTTAAGAAATTGAAGATGACTTTTATGTGACCTTCAAATGACTTTCCAAGGTCAAACCAATGCTACCATCTTATGTCCCCCTTCACACCCTACAATTTTTGTTTGAAACATTTCTTTCTGAAGAGTTCTGTTTTCGAGATATTCGAGTGCATCGATTAAAATGGCCCACCGTGTATACAGGGTCTACCAAAAGTGTGGAAACCCCTAAATATCTCGGAAAATATACGTTTTACAGAAAAGTGTTTCCAACAAAAGTTGTAGGGTTTAAGAAGATCTATATACTGATTCTATCAGTTTGACCTTGGATGGCGTCGTCAAGGTCAGGTCAAGGTCACATTGACTTTTTTAAATGACACCCCCTACATTTGATTGCATATTCTTATAGCTTAATTCAAGAGCTTTCCAAAACACTATAATAATGTTCATTTTTATTAAGTACTTTGCGAGTTATGAGGGTTGAAATAATTTCTTAATTTTACATAAACCATAAAATATCTAGTAAACCATTCATTTTTCGATTATCTTACCTTCATACTTTTATGTACAAAATAATGAAAGGAATCAATTGGTGTAAAGAAAACATACAGTTGTTTTTAAGAAAAAATATGGAATTGTTAATTGCAAATTACATATTTTTTCTTAGAAACAACTATGTGTTTTCTTTACACCAATTGATTCCTCTCATTAATTTGTACATAAAAGTATGAAGGTAAGATAATCGAAAAATGAATGGTTTACTAGATATTTTATGGTTTATGTAAAATTAAGAAATTATTTCAACCCTCATAACTCGCAAAGTACTTAATAAAAATGAACATTATTATAGTGTTTTGGAAAGCTCTTGAATTAAGCTATAAGAATATGCAATCAAATGTAGGGGGTGTCATTTAAAAAAGTCAATGTGACCTTGACCTGACCTTGACGACGCCATCCAAGGTCAAACTGATAGAATCAGTATATAGATCTTCTTAAACCCTACAACTTTTGTTGGAAACACTTTTCTGTAAAACGTATATTTTCCGAGATATTTAGGGGTTTCCACACTTTTGGTAGACCCTGTATATACAGGGTGATTCAAAATAACCCCTGTGTCCGTGAAATGACACATTGTTGAGTCAATTCTAAGACGATTTTTCCTTTTGCAAAATTTCGTCCGAAGCTTAGTTTTCGAATTATTAAAGAAAGTAGTTAACGCATGACGGGTCGGATACAAGAGGCAGGCAAGGTGACGCGATTCACCGTCAGACGCGGGCGCTTACGCGGGGCGCCTGCTGCGATCAGCTGGTCGCTATGAACATACAGACACACATGCGAACACATACATTCTCTCTCTGTCTGCTGTCCCTCTCTCTCCCCCCTCCCCCTCCCTCCCCTCCCCTCCCTCCCCTCCACTTCCATCTCGCCCCTCTCTATATCCCCTCTTCCCTCCCACCCCTTTTCATCCCTCTCCCATCTCTCCTTCCCCTCTCCCCCTCCTTCCCCGCTCCCTCCCCTCCCTCCCCTCTCCCTCCCTCCCTCCCCTCTCCCTCCCTCTCCCTCCCCTCTCTCTCCCTCTCTCCCTCTCTCTCTCTCTCTCTCTCTCTCTCTCTCTCTCTCTCTCTCTTTCATTCGCTCACTCACCTGTAATTTTTTTTTTTACGAGAGAGGGAAAAATGCATTTTATGCATATCCACCGGTCGATCCAGTGAGTTGAGACTCGAGTACCAAGTCGAATTACCAACTCGGTACTCCCTACTCACTAAAAACCCCTCTCTTTTCACGAATTTTCTCTGACATACTGTCCTTCCCGAGATCCGTTTCCACATAACGTTAAAAAATAGTTATTATTACCTTGTTCGATGACTTCTGATGTATTGCTGTAATTGCTTGAAGGAGAAATGAATTTTCCGATAGATCGTACGTTCTCAAATTTAACGTAGATATCACGTTGCACAAGACAGAAATCCACACTAAATTATTAACTGAAAGTTTTTCTTCTTTCGTAGATTGCGGTAGTAATAATATTAGTAAGTACGTATGACTCTCTTTCGAGGATAATCCCGAAACAAGTATTCGGGTAGTTGCTCGAGAACATGATTTATCATATACAATCGTACAAAGAATATTAAAAGAAGAAAAGTTGCACGTGTTTCATTATACACGCGTGCAGCATTTACGACCAGCAGATTACCCAGCAAGACGAACGTTTTGCGAAAATTTTCTGCGAAACGTCGATCGAGATCTCAAATATTCCTTTCGTGTGATATTCAGTGATGAATCGCTATTCATACAAGAAGGAATTTTTAATGTGCATAATATGCACTTTTGGAGCGAAGAAAATCTTAGAGTCACGCGATTTCGAAATTTTCAAACTCGTTGGAAGATTAATGTATGGGCTGGAATTATGGGCACTGAAATACTTGGTCCAGTTATTCTTCCAGATATTTTAACTGAAAAAACCTACGTCGATTTATTAACAGAAAATCTACCACATTTTTTAGAAGATGTTCCATTATTTGAAAGAAACGACATTATCTTCCAACAAGACGGTGCTGGCCATACAACGCCAGGATCGTTAAGAATTACTTAAACGAGAATTTTCCCGGACGCTGGACGGCCCGATACGTTGGCCCGCAAGATCTCCGGATCTCAATCCTCTCGATTTCTTCTTATGGGGATACTGCAAGGAAGTAATTTATAAAACGCTTCCCGAAGATATTGAAGATCTGGAGACAAAATTACGATTCGCTATTTGAAATATTGACGAAAAAATAATGAAAAATATCGAAAAAAACTTATTAAAACGTATGAGAGCTTGTATTCTGGATGGCGGGCATTTTGAACATCTGCTTTAAAATTTTTTTTTAGTCAATCCGCTCTTTTCAGAGCGACCAATACATTTTCACGTTGGAACATTTCATTGTGAGCAGAATAAAAATAAATTTTTCCAAACGTAATTTTAATTACATTATTCTTGCGATTGACTTAAATCTTCGCATCGTGAATGCAATAGTTTCAAAAACGTAATAACGTATAACACATGCTTTTTAAAATAATAATTATTATAATTAGAAATAGTTATTATTTATATTAAATAATTACTTTTTTTAAGTACGTCATTATACGTTTTATGTTTTCTACCGCATTTGCAATGCGAAGGTTTTAGCCGATCGTTCGTCTTATCTCGCGTCAATCATGCGCCACGCGCAAGTCGTTTGTTAGATGTTGCGTGTCACGTTTCTGGCAACATAACTCTTGTGGTCGCGCAGTCTCCGCGGTCCGTCGCTTCGTGTCGAGTCATGTGCTGTTTAGATTCGCGTTTCTTTTAAAGTAATTTTTGGTATCGATAAATCGATAGTTAGTGAATAAACAATAAACTCGTTATCGCATAATCTGTGTGAGACTAATAAGCGAGAAAGTTTCGATGTGTCGCGCAATCATAACCGTGCAGCAGATAACAACAATACATAGCATGAAGATTCGCTGAGTTGCTACAAGATGAGTGAGCAAGTGAGTAAACAGGTGAGTGAGGGAGTGAGTGAGAGACTGAATGAGAGAGTGTATGAGTGTTGCGTAAAAGAGAGAAAGAAGGCGAGAAAAAAAGTGCGTGCGTATGAATGTCCATCCTACCCTCCCTCCCTCTCTCTCTCTCTCTCTCTTTCTCTCTCTCTCTCTCTCTTTCTCTCTCTCACGCACACACTCCGCCATACACACATCGTGTGTAGCAATCAGCTGATTGCAGCGTCGGACGGCTGGCGATCCGAAACAATTTCTCATTATTATAATAACGTTATTTTAAGGAACACGTATTTCTGACGTAATTCTAAGACATTTTCTTTTTTACCAAAATTTTATTTAAAATATAATTTTATATTATAAGATAAAATAGTTAGCGATTCATGCGGTGGTAATACCCGTTCGGCGGTCAGCTGCGCCCGCGCTCGCGGCACGCCGCGCCGCTCTTGCCTGCCTTCTGTACCCGACGCGTGATTTACTAACTATTTTTGCTCATAATTCAAAAACTACGCTTCAAATAAAATTTTGGTAAAGGAAAAATTGTCTTAAAATGGTGTCAGGAATATATCATTTTACAGACGGAAGATTTATCGGAATCGCCCTGTATATGTATGTGTGTGTGTTTTCTTTACACAATTGATTTTTCTCATTATTTTGTGCATAAAAATGTTAAGGTAATATAATCGAAAAATGAATATTTTACGAGATATTTTATGGAAAATTAAAAAATTATTTTGAGCCTCATAACTCGAAAAGTACTTAACAAAAAAATACTTTACACTATACTTTACTATATACATATAGACACTCACAGACTCATGCATACACGTGAATATATCAACCGAATATATAAAAAATATGTATTTCCACATGTAATATCGAATACATCTCCAATGTATGTGGTCTAATTGTCCGTTATGAACATCATTTGTAACAAAAAAATCTTTAAAGACCGTGATCCCCATTGAAATTTTTGATCAGGACGTGATAAAGTAAAACATATATAACGTTTAGACAATTTAATCGAAATCACTTTTCCATAAGATTTGTATGGGATCCTTCATGTTGCTTTAACATAAGGCTTTTTAAAAACAAATATCTTTATTTACCTTTTTATATAAAAATCTATCTCGTGTAAGCAATGTTTAAAAATAATTGTACTATAATCAAGAATAACCAATAACTAAGAACACGTTATAGAAAATATAAATTCAATTGTTTAAATTGACTAGATTGGTAATGGACCTAAATTGATTAGATTTATTATTATGATTTCATTATGGAAGCTAATATCTTACCATGTTCATTTCGACGGCATCTTTCAATTTCGCATTCATTTGAAGACACGCAGCGCAATGAAATATTATGTTTACTTCATTTATTAGTTGCTCACGTTCTTTATCAGTAAGGCCCAAGTCGTCCGAACATATGTCACCATTGAACGGTATCACTTTTTTCAAAACTTGAGGCTTCTCAGTTTATATTCTTTGAAACAACTATAAAAATATCATTTCTTTTTGTTAACTTCCTTCATATATTATTATTCATTGTTTAAAAACATTTTAGTTTGAGTAACTTTAATTAATATTAAATCTATTTACATGCAAAATTTAATAATAAATTTTCGTAATATTTTTATTTGTATGTTTGATTTCCATTATGTGTCGAATAATAGAATAATATCATTAATTTTTCGAAATCTTATAATATTTTGAAGTACTATTAAATTAATTTAAAAAATTATATAGAATATTATAAATTATACACACGCGCACGCGCGCGCGCGCGTATTTTTTCTTCGAAACAACTATGTTTTTTCTTTACACCAATTGATTTCTCTCATTATTTTATACATAAAAGTATTAAAGTAAGATAATCGAAAAATGAATATTTTACTAGATATTTTATTGTTTATGTAAAATTAAGAAATTATTTCAAGCCTCGTAACTCAAAAATTACTCAATGAAGAAATACTTTATTATAGTGTTTTGGAAAGCTCTCGAGATAAGCAACAAATAAAAAATAGGGGGTCCCATTTAAGAAATTGAAAGTGACCTTCACATGACCTTCAAACGACTTTTCAAAGTAAAACCAATGACACCATCTTATGGCCCTCTTAAAACAACTTTTGTTTAAAACATTTTCACCGAAACCGTCATGATTTCGAGATATTTAGCTGCATCATTTAAAATGACACACCCTGTATAATAAGCTATGGAAAAACTATCAAAATGAGAAAAAGAGAGAGAAAAAGAGAAACACATATAATAAATTGTGTGTGTATAATACATTTTATCCTAAAAACAAATTTGATATTATTTTTAAAAATTATTAAAAAATATACTTAGAAATATACTTAGAAAAGATGAAAAGTCACTAAATAGAAAAATTCTTATAAGAGACGCTACTTATTTGATTATTCTTAAAGTATTCCTAAAATATTCTTTATGTATTATAGGGGAGACCGGAGATAAAAGTAACATTTTTTGTATTATAAGTCACTAATTAATTATCGTTAGAGATACATATAACAAAAAAAATTATATGTTAAAAACTCCATTTATTGTTTTATTATTATACCTATATTTTAATCTCAAATGATAGATATTTAAAGAGCTACTATAGCTTTTCGCAAGTACGTTGATTGTTACTTTTGTCCCGGGGGCTGGGACGAAAGTAACATAGTCTAAGGATAAAGGCATCAGTTTCTTTTTATTTTCGGGAAAATAAAATATGACTTTTTTCAATTTAAGGCAACTTTTATTATAATCTTTTATTAAGCGAGATAATTTTTATTATAAATTTGTGTGTGTGTATTATATTATATTAAAATAAAAAATAAAATAAATATTTATTGTTATCATCTTTGAAAAACTTAAAAAAAAAATCTTTGTTAAACAAAACAATTATAAGTAATATCATAAAATAATTTTGCTTAATATAACATCAGTTTTATATTTTTTTAAGTCTAAATAATAGTTTTATTCTAAATAATAATGTAAAAATTATATAACTACTTATACAAAAGAGATTGATATCTATTCCGAACTACAATTATGGCATATGTAATAAGAATCGACTTTGATACAATTACTCAGGTAGAAATACTTAGGTGAATAATGCAAATATACTAATTTCACTCCTGCATGTACAACCGACGCGATCGTTTTACAACAATTAGTTGAAAAGGAAGAGAATCAGAGTGTACGCGTTTGACTATATAGTAGAAATTATTCAATATATTGTGTAGTTTAGTAAGAGGCTTGTTACTTTCATGACGCTGTTATTTTTATCCCTGATCTCCCCTACTATTATATTGTATTATTAGCTAATAAGTCAATAAAGTTTATATAGCTTTCTTAACTGCAAATTTTGATAACTAAGAATCAATTTATAATTAATAATTTAATATAAAAATTAATTGTATAAAAAAAAAATTAATAAAATCTAAATACAAATGTACAAATAGAAAATACAAACATGTAATATGATTTTTATAAGAATATTTCAGAATATGTAGCAACTTTATCCTGCAACATTCTCTTCATATTAAAGATCTAATAAAGGTAATATAATTCATACAATATCTTACAGGTAATTTGAATATATCTTCAAGTCGATTGTCGTAACTGCGACTTTTTTTGGCTCGTATTAAGATGTAGATTTTGTTGAGATCTGAACAGCTGTATAGCAACTTTTCTATAAGGACCTTACCCATAAAACCAGAAGCACCAGTAATGAAGATGATTTTGTCTTTGTAGAAGGATTGGATCTCAGACTTTGATTCATTCATAGCTGAAATTGATCATATATTGCAAAATTTGTTATCACGACAGACAAAAAAAGAAAATGTATTTTACTACGCGGTAAAACATATAGGAAACCACACAAATTCGCTTTGCAGTATAATATTAATAGTGTTCGTATTATTATACAATTTGACGCGAAATTTATATTGTTACATTATTTTCAAATCACCGTATTACATCGCAACTCATAATTTTCATGGAAAAGCTTGCGACGTAATATTTTTACAATCCTCGGGTGTTCAAACGTCGTCAAAAACACAAATAACGAAAAAATAATATTAGCGCTTGGAGGAACAGAGATGGAGGTTGTACTACGTGAACCGCGGCGAAGCGAAGGCCGTATCGAGATCTCGAAATTGGGCGCCAGATTCGGTCTGTCACGTATCAATTCGCTAAACGCCAAAATAACGCGACAAACGCTTGCTTTATTAGCCACAAGCCGATTAGCTTGTCTAACGGTAGTGGATCTACGGACAATATTATAATGAATTTACACGAGGCTTTACGAAAATCCAAATATTCGACCATCACGACAAAATCTAACGTTCACAAAAGGTCGAAACTCGAATTGCGCGGACTTAGTATAAAAAAATACAATATAACAAGTTTATTCAATAAAAAAAAGAAAATAAAATAGAAGAACAATTTAACAAGAATTTCTATCATCTAATCCTATTTGTTTCGAATGATTAATAGTTATTATTTCTTAGATTTATTCGAAAATACAGTAAATATATGTATAAATTAAAGTTGTGATTCTCATAATTATAATACATAACACAATTATATTATCATTAGCATCGCACAGATTTAGTTTAGCATAAATAAAATTATATTTATTATATTGATTTGGTTATATTAAGTTACTAATGTTTAAACATTACTTTTTAAAGAAAATAAATTTGAATAAATCAACAAATTTATAATAAAATAAATGTTATTTTATTTATATTTATTACATAGGGACCTGCTAAAGTTGATTAAGTTTTAAGTTAAAAGTTTGATATTTTGTATAGCAAGAATAACAAGAAAAATTATAATACCTCAACAATAAGACATTCAACAACAAGAATGATTTAATATAACTTTATGCACTAGAGCAAATGTGTATTGTCCATATATATTCTATATTTAAATTTATATATTAAGACATTTCTGTGTATTTTATATACACAATTAAATTTTTTTTTCTTATTGAATAAATAAATAGCGAATAGAGAAAAAGAAAAAGAGAGAAAGAAAGAGAGAGAGAGGGAGAGAGAAGTTTTAATTTTAATTTCAATCTATTTTTAGCTTAATGGACTTATATCAATAAAATTTTTTGTGCAATAAATATTATGTGCATCACAAAAATATGCATGTAATTTAAGCGTCACATTCTCTATTAAAATTAGTACGTAGCGTAACGATAGTTTACAAAGAAAACAAAAATATCATAAAGTTAGCGAATTATTCGAATAGATAAATTAATACACGCATGTATAGTCGAATAGATAAATTAATGCACGCATGTATAGTCTCATTAATAAACGAACAAACATTAACATGATTAAAATACACCATTATTCATACACATTCATGTATTAATGTTTAAAATAAATTAATTAAATTAAAGCAAATAAAAATAATAAAACTAAAAAATATATGTGTATGTGTGTGTAAATGTGTGTGTGTGTGTGTGTGTGTGTGTGTGTGTGTGTGTGTGTGAAACGTGTCATGGAATAAAAATAAAAATTATTTGATATAACTATTCTTATTTAAACGAAAAGTATATAAGAAGATATAATATAGGACAATATAAAAATTAAACTTAGAAATATTTATAAGTAGAGATTTTGAAAATACTCTATCGTTTGATTTATGATGGTTAGATACTTCTTTTGTTCTTTTTCTACATTTCAAGATTTATCACCATATTATTGCAGTATTCAAATTATAAAGAAAACATCCTAATATGTTGTATACAAATAAAAATATGTCGAAAAGAAATAAAAAGTCTGATATTTATATTTTAATCTATCAATGGAAATTGAATGCAAGTGACAAAGTATGTTAAAATGCGTCAATTTTTCGATTAAAAATTTCAAAATCTGTCCGCAAGTTTAATCATCAGATTAACATCTTTTTTATCAGTATATTTGCACGTCGGCAAAAAATAATTCAAAAATTGATTTGAAACTAGTTTTATTTTAAAATAATGATAAAAACATAATTTTGTTTTAAAATAACGATAAAAAATATAGCTGAGAATGACATTGGATATGTCCTGTTGATGATATTTTAGACATTCGATTTAATTTCCTTCGATCGGGATTACGAGTAATCCTATGATGTTTTGTTCTATTCTATCTGCGTTTATATTATATTTTACGAATGGATCGTGCGTATTCCGTGCTCGTGAATGTACTGAGCTTTAGCGTAATCGGTGTTGAATATTATACTGCAGTTGCTACTAATAAATTATTCCAGCCGTATGATTATCTTATTTTTTCTAAAAATTGCGTCATTTAATACTAAATGAGGCAATTTGTAAAAGAAAAAAAATTTATAATATGCAAGATAACGATTACATAATGTACTAATTAACATTCATAAACTACAAGATATTAGATTTAATACGTATTATATTTATTATGTAATTGTAAATTAAAAACTTTAAAAAATAAGGATTATATAATATGTCTCTGATTTTATATACTCTACTCATAGATTTGGGATAGACGAATAATATTTTATATATATTCTTGATGATAAATTGTTAATTGCGTTAGGCTATATTCTCTTTTTGAAAGAATCCAGCAAATATCGATTTTCTACTAGTCACTCTTTTTTTAATATGTTATGAGTTAATAGACCTGCATCGTTCTTAGATTTTCATGAAATAAAGCAAAAACATTATACAATATCGTATAGTTGATATAACTGAAATGTGGAATGTATGAATTTTTGTGATCTTAACAAACAAAATACTAATAATTTTTACGAAAAACTTTACTTAAAAAAATTAATACATTTTACGAAAAACTTTACTTACAAAAATGTTTACATAATATAATATTTAAATTTTTGAACTTTGAATTTTTTCATACTTTTAACAAAGTTTATATTATAATATAAAAAGTTTCATTAAAATAAATATAAAAAAATTTTAAATATTAACAGCTGAAATAGTCGTTTAGTGTCATAAATAAATAAGATAAAAAGGAAATAAATAACAGAAAAAGAATAAAAAAAGGAAGAGTAAAATTATATTATATTTTACTATTAAATCTCTCTATTTTCTTATTAAAAAACGGAGCAAATTCTATTTAATATTATCTTATTCCATTTTTTTATATGTTGGAACCATTAGTTCCTATGACTGCGACATGCGGGCGCCATCTGTATGGCTGTAATTTGTGAACCGCTTTTTATGTTGAGACACAACCGATCCTCGTTACTGTGCCACAAGCTGATAATAAATATCGTCTATCTTTAAACTTGTAACAAAATATCATTTTACTAGTTCCACACGATTCTTATTCACTAACTCCCATTCTAACAGGTTATGGGCCCAGGGCATCGAAATTAAGAATCGAGGAAAGTGAACGTAAAAATTGAGATTAGAATAACGCATCACGTAAGAGCAAAAGAAAACGATGTCTTCGTCAAACTCTGTAAGAATTGAAACTTTGAACAAGAATAATTATGACACCTGGAAAATACAAATGGAAGCACTGCTGTTAAAAAACGACGCATGGCCGTATGTAAGTGGCGAAAAGGTTAAACCCACAATCATTGCGGGAAACATGGACTCAATCGAAGCGGTAAGGTTATGGGAAATAGAAGACAAGAAAGCAAGGTCAGATATAATATTATCAATAAGTCCATCTGAATTAAAATTAATAAAAGGATGCATCACATCGATGGAAGTTTGGCAAAAGCTGGAATCAATTTATCAGTCAAAAGGACCAGCTAGGAAGGCCACATTAAAACAATTAACGTTACATCGAGTGAACGATAATGACGATATATCTGATCACGTTCGCAAATTTTTCGACACGGTTGATAAACTAGGCGAAATGGACATCGATATTAATCCCGACTTATTGACAATTATGCTTCTTTACAGTTTACCGCCAAGCTTCGAAAATTTTCGTTGCACCATCGAATCTCGCGATACTTTACCAACGCCAGATAATTTACGGGTAAAAATCCTGGAAGAAAATGAGGCAAGGAAGGATAGTGCACAAGACAACGGAACGAATGCGATGGTTGCAAAGAAATTAAGCGCAAAAGACAAAAGTTCAAATGACAGGAGTAATAAAGGATACAAATCACGAAACGAAGAGCCATTCAAATTCAAATGTCATCGTTGCCAGAAGGTAGGACATAAAGCTATTGACTGTAAAGGAACAAAAAGGAGAAAGGATAAAGACAAAGACGTGAGTTTATATACAAAGCATATGATCGACCAGAAAGCGTTTAACTCAAAAGACGATCTATATACTGAAAATTGGTGTCTCGATAGTGGTTCCACGTCACATTTATGCAAAGATACTAAATATTTCAATGAATTTACAGAAAACGCATGTGGCACATTAAATCTAGCCAGTGATGCCTCTAAAATAAATGCAAAGGGCTCTGCATCGATGAAAACGGTCTTAGACGGTAAAACAAGGAACGTAACGTTAAACGAAGCACTGTATGTCCCCAACTTAAGAATGAACCTACTATCCGTAGGGAAAATCACCGATAAGGGATTCAAGATACTGTTCGAAGAAAAATCTGCCAAAATCATTAATCGAGAAGAAAAAACGATACTGAAGGCTAAACGAATCGATGGATTATATTACCTACCTGAAATGGGACACAAGTACGAATCAACAATGAAGAGAGGAACATCTTCGGAAGAGGCGCATTTTACCTCAATCGAGACTTGGCATCGAAGAATGGGACACTTGAATATCAAGGATCTCGTGGAAAGTCATCGCAGAGGGAATATCC